GGAAGTAGGATTGCCCAACCTTCCTTCCGAGGAGTGGCTGGTGGGTTTGAACCGCCAGCCTTCCGGTGAGCAGTCAAGTGCCTTAGGCACTATGCTAACCATTGTTGTTGTTGTTGTTGTTGTTATATGCCGTCGAGCCATTAGAGACCACAAAATAGTGCATTTGGACTATTACTATTACTAAAGAGATTCCCTTTATCTTCTCCTCCAATCACTTCACCTAGGTTTAAAAATTCACAGATTCTTTATGAAAAGATCTGGTGGAAACAGGATAATCTTCACGCTGATACAGATTGTTGGGACTGTTTCAAAGCTAATCTAAATGTTTTAGAAATTCTTTCTGTTTACTGCTTCCTTAGAGTACTTCTCTGCAGTTTTTCTAGATTACATGGTGCTGTGAAACTGGCATACACTCTTCCTTAAAATAAAGTCTTGGCTTGTACCAACTTAGTCATTTTATGAAGGATTTTGTGCCTGCTACTGACAGCTGCCAAACCATAATCTAACTCTATCCCTTTGCAATTTGATTTGGTTAGTCCTTAGATTCAAGGAATGGATTAAGGAGACTTGGTAGCACAAATGCTTAAGCACTCAGCTGGTAACTGAAAGACGGGAGGTTTTAACCCACGCAGCACCTCCACGTGAGAAAGGCCTGGCAATCTGCTCCCATGAAGACTGCAGTCTAGGACACTCTATGGGGCAATTCTATTCTGTCACGTAGGGCTGCTGGGAGTCAAAGTCAATTTGGCAGCACACACCAAGAAGGATGGGACTAGTCATCACCCCAGATTCTTCCTGCTTTGCCTCCCAAGGGTTTCCGCGTCTATGGCTCCTTCTCCTCCTTGGAGCACTCACTCCGTTCCAGTCTCCTCCTCCAGAGTCTTAAATGCAGTACCTGCCACAGACCCCCATCTCCTTCCTCTTTAAGGCCTCCCAGGAACAGGGCTCATCTACCATCAGGACTTCAAAAGGACTTTGGACAAAGGATTCTCAAATCATCGCCTCTTCCCCAAGCTTTGGACTCGGCATTTTAGCACCCTGCAGGGCAGAGTCAGCATGCCCATCCCAAACCCAGCATTTTCAAAACAAGTCC